GCTCTAACGAACGCTGCAACGGCTTGCACCACTCACAGAAACAAATCGCGCGAAAACGTTTGTCCTGACTACCCCGGCGCTCGAAGACATCTGACCAGCTGCTCARTTGTTAGCTAGGAACGCCCTCTACCGAATCCAGTCAGCACGCGCACGATCCRAAGTACAGTCGCGGCGGAAGAAAATCAGTCCTATTATTTTCCGGATAAACCCTATATACCTAGATTTATCGACTAGACTTTAGACCATGTTCTTCTATGAATTATTATTCATCAATTATAATAGTAATTCGATTTTTAAACCCAATTTTCTTYCACATTCTATTTCAGAAATTGGTGCGCTGAAACAACTCGAAGAGCTCAACATATCCAAGAATCATCTTCAACGACTGCCAATACAGCTAAGCGAATGTCAGCGCCTAAACGTGCTCAACCTCAATGATAATGTCAACATCTGGCATATACCCGAGCGAATCTCCAACCTGCCATCACTACAATCGCTATCAGCGGATCGTACGTAACTTTTATTCAGCATTTGACTTGTTCTGCTCCTATCACAGCCTTCGTTGCGCTACATTTTCTGCAACTTTCCTACTTTTCTAACAGGTTGTGCACTTTTTTACCTGCCAGTGGCACTTTCTAAGTTCGTAAATCACGTCCGCATATTTCACAACACTTCCATTACTCATGTGCCCATGATCTATGAGAAGCCYTTTCAAACTTTCTATGACAATCGCGCAAAAGTAACACCCCCGTAAGTTCGTGTAACTAAAAACAATTATTTATATTCGTAACTCTTTAATCGTATTTCCAGCGCTGTGACACACGACAGTTTCTTCTGGGTGTTGGAAAARGAGACCAATACTAGACTACTACTGCCCTTCGGAACACGTCGCATCTTTTGTGTGCCGTCGCTAGACAATCAAGTCACACTTTACGACGATTGTTTAAGGGCAGTGCAGTATCTGAGTCGCTACATGCCATTGTGGGAGAATGTGGCGCTGAAGCAAATGCTACCGGAGAAGTTCATCTACAATCATATTGTGAATGGACCGACTGCCCGCTGTACAGTGCTGAATTGTTCCAACCCCTTGTACACCACCTACTACTTCATGGCTGTGAAACGGTATGCATTTATTGTGATTCTCCTTTGCTTATATTTACTCTCTCTTGCTCTGCGTAGGCGTGGCAGCTCATCGAAACAAATTTTCACCTGTTACTTTTGTTCAAATCACTGTGCGAATTTGTGGCTGTTGGCGAATGGCAAGAAATACTATCAGCTGGAATGGGAAGTGTGTGAGGATTAATGTGTTCGCAGCGTTACCGCTCAAACCTTGTAAACACTGATGTACATATAATGGTCGAGAAATTAATATAGTTTAATTAGTAAACGGCTAAGAAAATAAATTTAAGTAGACGAAATCAATTTGTAGACAAAAATTTTGGTATTCATTTGAAGGATATGAATTTGGATTATTTTTTTTATATATTTTCTGAGAAGATTGGCATTASTTAAAATGAAGTTGGCTGTCCAGTGTCGCTGTCCTAAACTTATTCCTTACGATTATAAAAATCTGCCACATTCATAYTGGTATGGGGATCCTCGTTGGATCTCCATTAACACTTTGCGTTCTAGCACTGGACCAATGGACCTCGTGTGCGTTCAGCAGGCGCTGGTCGATGACCCGCTCTTTTGTGATTGCAAGATAATATTGAATAATGCAGGAGATCTGCTGAACACTTGTCTTTGGCAAAGTTCGTCTTGCCGAAATCGTAAGGCTTCTTAATAGACAATATCTAATACCCATTCATGCGGTAAGGTTGGCGAAGGCAAGTTGTCAAAGTTGAATTTCTCTTCCATTTTTAAGTCTTTGCAGGAATGTGTTGAAAAATTCCGGCAGTCTAACATCGGCGCACCAGGAGACAGTGCAGAAATTAATATTAGCCGTCTCAACAAACTTGTGGAAGACTCAAAGCACTTTGTCGATTTTTAAGGGTCTTATGATCTGTTATATAMCMGTTTTACGTAATACTTGTACAACGRACCGGCATTCTAAGCTTTCCAAGTGAGGTTCTTATTAGGATCGACCTCATAAGTTAAACCAACCTAAACATCAATATAATTTCACAAAGAAGATAGGACTAGCTTTCGAAATTGGTACAAATAAAGGTGGGCTCAAAGAATGGTAGCATCATAGGTAAAATTATTAAGTCATAATGTAAGTATCGTCTACAAAGTTAGTCATATTATAAGTAATTAATACCCAAGTATATTTGTTGTGCCTAGAAACTCCAAAAYAATAGAATCACTGTTGCTCAACTCAAGTAGATGCAGTAATAGAAATCGAWAAAGATTAAGTTAAGGTTTTTGAAGTTGTTGAACTAACGGCAGACAGCAATATAAAAACCGTATGAAGGGGAAACTAATGCCTGATATTGCATTGACTGATTTTCGAGAACGTTATGACAATACCAGCAAGATGAGTAGTCAATACAAGGGAGTTCAGAACCACCTCCTCAATGATAGCGCACTTGAGTCCTCAAATGTTGTTGATCTCAGAAAGCCATATATAGAACTCTCCTAGCACAAAGTATTCGCCATTTGTTGGTATCTTCCACACATTTCAAGAAAAGAGGCATTACATAAAAGAGCGCCAACAATCGACTCCATTTGCAATTATCCCAACTGCAGATGTTCGATAAATGCAAGAAGACTTTTATGCTTTTTTGAATTGTTAGGTAGATAATAGTGCAAATCATCGTAAACTCCTTGTAAAGCAATACTATTCCACCGCCTCAAGACTTAAAAGAGATTAGAGATGGCATTCGAGATTGTTGTCCTCTACTGCATAGTATAGAGGAAACTATTCTTAGGATAGCTTAAATTACCCCACACCATCATACAAATGAGACTTTATTTCTTGATTTACGCCAATATGACTAACTTGTTTAAAAGAGGCAACTAACTTCGTGAAAACATATCCAATCAAAAATAAGCTGCTCAACTTGCAGCTTTGAAAATTGAGTTGTGTTCACGAAAACAGACCACATCTTAACTTTAGAAATAAGAAACTATGAAATTGCGTAGTGTAAAGAATGTTAACCATAATCAAATATATGGTAAATCGTTTCCTGCTACATAAATTCATATATAGCAAACAGAATTCCTTTCAAATCATGAAGAAAATGCGTGCCCCAGACCGTGACGACATTCCTAAATTTTGCTATCTAATCATAAGCTTATGTATGTACATATATTGAAAATGGATTATTGGCACTCCTTCGTACAAAAAATCTTCGTCTCGTAAGTGATTAGACCCCAATGAATTACTGAATTTTTATATGTCTGATAAGAATCGAAAATTAGTAAAACCATCACATATTGCCGTCAGCCACATAGGTAGAGCTTTTCGTTTACTAGATATAATGGGTGATCCAAGTAAAGGTACAACTTTTACAAATCGTTCAACAGTATTACGAAAGYTCACGTTTTGTAAAGAATGTGTTTCACRCGCTTCGTTGAACTTATGGTCAACATAATCGCCCTACTGAGCGTACTATTCGCAACACCTTCACCCATATGGAGACCCAGCATTTATTATTGGATAATATTCATTCGAATAGACCACGTCCAGCACGCAGTGAAAAAAACATAGCAGCCGCATCTGAGTGTGTATACGAAGACCGTGAAGAGTCGATTCGGCGCCGTTCGCAGCAACTCGGACTGTCCTGTGGAACGACTTGAGACATTTTCCGTCGAGGTTCTAAATTGAAAGCGTACAAAATACAGTTTGTGCAAGAACTGAAACCGTTCGACATTCCCAACCGCCGTCGCTTCTCTCCATGGGCTCTTGAAAASTTCCAAAAAGATCCGTCGTTTTTGAGCACAATTTTATTCATCGATGAGGCCCATTCCTGGCTCAATGGGTATGTATTATTATATAAACAAGCAAAATCACTGCACTTGGTGCGAAGAGCAACCTGGAGATATCCGAGAATTTTCTATATTTTATTTTATGTAAGGAACTTCGAAATGGATCATCCCATATTTCGGTCTATTTTGGTGAAATCAAAGATTATAATAAGACCTATAGATTAATTTAATTGCAAAAAACGATCATGATTGAAATTTACTTTATTCCCTTATTTTCAAAAACTAAAACTTAACTTTGGAGTTGAAAGCTTTAAAGCTTTTTCATCAAGCGGTAAATTTGTGTTGATATTAAAAACGCTTATCTCTTAACACAATGATTTTTGCATCAAACTTTCGATTTTATTATAATTTTTTATATGAATTGTTGGCAAAAGCACCACAAATCATAACCTAGCAAAAATGGTTTAAATTCATCGATAGCACTAATCACAATCTTCAGCTACCCGAAGTGGTAATTAATTTATGAATGCATTGGCAGATAAAGTACCACCAGCTGAGTCGGAGTTATGTACTTTATCATAACGAATTCGTATATAAAGCGTGTAGAGTTATAGCAACTTATTCAGTGTTGATTTTGCACACTACAAGTATACTGCAACGCGTTCTATTACACAATTTTAATTGAAATACAAATTCTAAACATGATTCTGACGAAAATCAGTTGTTGTGTGCTTTTGTTCCTACTCGGCTCCAACTACCAAGCTGACGCCCAATTCAATCCCAATTATGCAGCGG